ACAGAGAGAAGGAGAGGTAGAGAGAGAGAGAGAGAGAGAGGACTTCCGTCAGCTGGTTCACTCCCAATTGACCACAATGGCCAGAGCTGTGCCAATCTGATGCCAGGAGCCAGGAGCTTCTTCTGGTCTCCCATGTGGGTGCAGGGGCCTGAGGACTTGGGCCATCTTCTACTGCTTTACCAGGCCAGAGAGACAGATTGGAAGTGGAGCAGCAAGAACTGGAACCAGAGCCTATGTGGGATGGTGGCAATGCAGGCAGCGGCCCCACCAGCTACACCGCAGCACTGGCCCCCGGCGGGGGCGGCGGGGGGATGCATTTTTTAATCAGCTGATCCTCATGATGACCTTTCAAGGTGACTTTTAATTATCTCATTTTAGAGATATTATTGAGCATTTGCAAAGGAAGGGAAAGACATGTCTTTTGCCTGAAAAATTCATCTTGCAGACTTTAAAAATTACTCAGCTGAGTGTGGGTGTTTGGCCTACTGGAAATCTGAGTCCCACATCAGAGTGCCTGGCTTCATTTCCTAGCTCTAGCTCCTGGCTCTGGTTTCCTGATATTGCAAACCCTAGGAGGCAGATGTATAGCTGTAGAAACTGGGTTCCTGCCATCCGTGAGTGAGACTTGAATTGAGAGTTCTTGGCTCCTAGCTTTGTATTTGGCCCAGTCAGTTTCCTTGTGTGACTCAGTAGATGAGAGGTTCTCTCTCTCTCTCTCTCTCTCTCTCTCCCCCCCCCCACCTTTTAAAATGAAAAGAAAAGAAGCAAACACCTTAAGAGGAGAAATATGCAGGAGTCCATGAAAAGGATCATCTACCCAGCAATCTCCTGTGCTGGCACTACATGCTGGGAACAAGTCCTGCAGCAGGAGGAAAGATCAGCATGGCGTCTGCTCTTCTTAGGCAGTGTAAGCACTAATCAATCAGTCCTAGGCCCCAAAGGCCTCCTTAACCCATCACTTACAGAATTTCCTTCCACATCCCTTGCTCAGTGAGAAGTATTTATTTACTTTCTAGACTGAAATTCCAACATTCCTTTTAAATAGGTTTAATTGATTAATTAATTAATTTGAAAGGCAGAGACAGAGAGATATTTTCTACTGGTTCACTCCCCCAAGTGGTCACAACATCCAGGAATGGGCCGAGCTGAAGCCAAGAGCCAGAAACTCTGTTTGGGTCTCCCACATGTGTGGCAGGGGCCCAAGCACTTAGACCATCATCTACTGCTTTCCTAGCACTGTTAGCAGGGAGCTGTATTGGAAACAGAACAGCCAGGCTCGAGCCAGCACTCTGTATGGGATGCCAGCATATCACAGTGTGTCACAATGCTGGTCCCCCAGCATTCTTTTAAATATTTCATGCTTAAAATGAAAAAATCCATCCCCTTTACCTATTATCCCCAAAATGCAGTACATGCTGTCTGCCTGACACCCAGTCTCAATACCAGCCATCAATCATTCAGTCTGGTGACACCAATGCTTATGCTTATTTAAATTCCCATTCACCCCATGACTTTTCTAGAATGTTATCTCCCTCTTTGGGATACCTCCCCTTGTCATCTGGATATAACCTCTGCATACCCCATAGTGTACACTTAGGTGTGCCAATACCTATGCCAGCTAGTTCTCGAACACAGTTCATGGGTTCAAATGCTCTTTTTCTGTGTCTATAAAACACACTGGGTTTACCTTCATCACACCAATGCTGAGATTCAGCTATAATAATATGTTTATATATCTCCCCCTTTTGTATTCTGAATTTATGGGTTATAGAACTTATATGCATGTATCTTTGTATCCTTCACCCTATATAGCACAGTATATAGAATTAAATACTAGTATCTATATATTCATTTAGTGCTCATGAAATTATGCAGAGGCAGAATGTTGAACAGATTGTATAGGAGAGGAAAAACAAACTATCATAAGGTTCCTGGCTGAGGCTGCTATGACAAAAGATGGATGAATAAGAGCAAAGTAAAGGACTCTGTAAGTAAAAACCTAAGGAAATAAGAAAATCTGTTTGCACAGCCATATAGAAGTATTACGGGAGGATGAAAGGATACACCATGTTGATAATAAACCAGGAATTTGTCCAGCCAATTCCTGGTCCCTGGGAATAGGGAAGCCCTCTCTGGAATTAGATGCAATGAATTTCTGGACAAAGACATCTGGTTTTATGGTCCACTTTCATCAGAAACAGGAAGGATTAATTTTTTTCTAGATTCTATGATCTGTTTCTGCTATTTTCTTAACCTCCGAAGTCCAATATTTTGGGATAGGATGTCCTGAGCCCTAAAAATGATGATTTATTTTAATGATTATATTTTCCTGAATTTGTTTGGAAGAATATTATTCATGGCTCATTGTTCTATTTATTTTTTTATTTGGTAGTGATGAGACATTTCCTTTTGTTTTCATTTTTTAATATTTGGTTAATTATTTGAAAGTCACAGTTACAGAAAGAGGAGAAGAGATGCAGAGAGAGAAAGAGAGAGAGAGAGAGATCTTCTATCTGCTGGTTTACTCCCGAAATGGGTGCAAAGGCCTGGGCTGGGCCAGGATGAAGCCAGGAGCCAAGAACCTCTTCCAGATCAGCCAGTGGGTACAGGGACCCAAGAACCTTGACCATCTTCTGGTTTCCCAGGCATAATAGCAGGGAGATGGATCAAAGCGGAGTAGCCAGGGCTAAACCAGAGCCCATATGGGATGCTAATGTTGCAAGGAGGTTGCTTAACCCACTATGCCACAATGCTGGCCTCCAAGAAATTCCCTTTTGAATAAATTAGTTTAAATGAACCAAACTCTCTCTCTCTCTTTCTCTCTCTCTCTTTCTCGTGCGCACACACGCGCGCACACACACACACACACACACCAAAGAAGAAAATGCTAATTGAAAACTAGATCAAAATTCAAAAATTGTGCCCACCATACAGGAATAAGCAAAATATCAGTGGCCAGGTTTGGCTCAACTTAGATTTCTAACCAAGTAATCTTGGCAGGGTCAGCAAGGGATGCACTTTAGAGCAAGGGATATTTTTCATGTATGCAACATCCTATCTCAGGAGGCAAACTTGCTCAGGAACACTCTGGTTCCAGGAAAGACACAAGGCAGGTAACTGGAGGTTACACAGCAATGTTGAAATGAGATTTGAACACAGGGCCCTTCTGCTGGAAGTGGAGAGGAGAGTGCTGAGCCAGGGCGTGGGAACCTGTGACCTGAGTCATAAATCAGACTGCACTGAGTTGCATTCAGTTGCAGATCCCCTGGGGAAACTAGGGTGAGGGGATGTTAGGTGACATTGGACACCACTTTGCTACTGCTCCCTCCCTCGTGTCACATGAAGTCACTCCATGCCAGGAAGGGCAAATCTGAGAACAAAATTGACTAATGTTATGCTTTCATTTTCTCATGAAGAAAATCTATGGTACAGGGGTCACTGGAAAGCACAGAAGGTCACAAGAAGGGATTAAGTTAAACCTGAGACTGACAAAGCTTCAAACTGCATGTCCTTTGTCCTTTGCCTACATCAAACCAAGCATGGAGGCACAGCGCTGGTTGCACCAGCTCAAGTATATTACAGTGCGTGCAAGTGGAATGCACAATGACTTTCTATGAGAACCCTATCTGGGCTCACAAAAGTAACCACCAGAGAGGAAATGGTTCAGACAGGTGGCTGTGGAGTGCACAGCACACAGTTGAGCAGGACAGGATGGTGCACAGTTGAAAAGTTGGCCAAACTTGATTCAAAATAAGCAGCGTCCTCTCATCAGGACATGTACAGGTGCTGCTGTTTTACTCACAAATGTGGAAAGCATTCCAGGAGAGTGATTCTTTTATCCAACTGCACTCTGCAGCCCCGTCAAGCCCATACCCAGGAGGATTCCGTCTCAGTCTACAAAATCCAAGTGAGCTTTACAAATGTACCACAAGCCTTACATATGCTGGTAAGGCATCTGGTTTAAACGTCACAGAAATTGGGGTTTTTCCTCTCTTAAAAGCCCCCCTCCATACCATTTTGGCTGGAGGTCTTTGACTCTAATAAACCTTTTTTAAATCTCAAAAAGAAAGTCAAAGAAATAGGCACCATTCAACCACTTATGTCATAATTATCTTACATTTCCATTATGCTCAACTCTGAAGAACTTTTTAACTTTCAAATTGGAATCAGAAGCAGAATTGGGACTTAAGCTCAGGCACTCCAATTTGGGAGTTGTATATCCCACAATGCTGTCTTAACTTCTAGGTCAGACGTCTCTCCCCCAGGCTGAGCTTCTGTAAGGACAGGCCTTTCTGATGCCAGAAGTCAGTGCTGTGTATCACCCGTCTCATCAACATTCTGCAAGGGGTACTCAGCTGCTCAGCACAGGCTTGACCTCTGTCGTTCTCTACAATCCAGGCAAAAGGCCCCAAATCTGCTTGATCCAATCACATACAGAATAAAAACCTGATTCCCTAGAATCTGTTCTGTCATCTGGATGAAGCTTCTTAGCCAGACCCCCAGACCACTCGTATTATGATTCCTATCTATCTCCAAGTGCTGTTTTCCCTGTTGTCTGACAGTAGACCCAATACCCTAATTTTCTAGGTAAAGTTCTCCCAATGCACATGGTAATTGAGTTTCGGCCATAATCCTGAAATCCAAAATCTGTCGTCCAAGTTCTGAAATGCTAAAAGATCAAAATCTCTAAAGTCTGACATCCTGAAACCAATATCATAAAAATATAATTCTGGGAAAAATGAATTATTTAAAAAATTTATATACATTTTCAAAATGTTTGCTTGAGGAAACATATAAAAACATGACATAATAAATCATAGACCATGTTATATCCAATAATAATTGATAATAAAATACATATTTTTGCAAGTATTAACACTCAGGTATATTAAAGACAGAGGGTACAGCATTTATGAGTGGACAAGTTGGATTTACAAGATATAGGTCTAAAAGCAAAATATGTGAGTACCTACCACTATGGTTGGTTATTGCATACTTACAGCTTTGTGGCTATGGTGATTTGAAATTTCCTGAAAAGCAGCCTTCGCCTTTTGATAAAGATGAACAGGAACTTCAATGAAAGCGCGGATATTTAGGCCAGCAGCTAAGATGTCCACATAATCCCAAACAGCAGGGATTTGCAGTGCCTGAGCTTGTTGAACACAGCACATGTCTGACAAATGGAAACATACCTCTGAAGGTTCATAGCCAATAAAGGGGACCCAGAGGCTTGTCTTAGACAGGATTTGAGTGCTTGGAATTTTGAAGATAGTTCTAGGTGCCAAATGGCCAGTAGTAAGACAGATACTGATTGTAGCATCATTTGTTTATATGTTATCCCACTTGGAATCCACAATGCAATACTCTGACTCAAACATAAAGATGCTAACATACTCATTTATACAATTAAAGTAACCATTAATAAAACAAAAGCACCCAGGAACATCTCTTGGTTGATCCTAACTGGCAGACCAGCCTAGAGGTACAGCAATGAAAGTGTTGCTTGGGACACGGACATACCATATCAGTGACCAGGGATTTTATTCTTGGCTCTGCTTCTGATTCCACTTGCCTGCTAATGCACACCATGCAAAGCAGCAGGTGATGGCTCAAGTATTTCAGTCTCTATCACTCCTGTGGGAGACTAGGATGGAGTTCCTGACTCCTGGTTTGACCTGGCCCACTCCCAACTATTGCAGCCATTTGAGGAATGAACTAGTGAACTAGCAGATGGAAGATACTCTCTCTCTCTCTCTCTCTCTCTCTCTCTTTCTCTCTCTCTCTTTCTCCCTCTGTTTCCCCCAGCTTTTCAGATAAGATGAAAATAAATCTTGGAAATTTTGCGAAAAACAAAAAGAAAGAAACAGTGGGGTTATTACATTGCCTCCTTTGTTGTGAAAGTGACCAACTTCAATTTTCCTTGTTCTCCTTAAGATTGAATCTTTCTTTCCCTTTGCAACTGAAGGTGAGTTACTATAACCCCATCTCATCCTTTCTGGGGGGACTGAAGTCATCTTTCTTTGTTACCTTCATGAGTTATTCTGTTCAGGCCAGGATTTGAGTGTGGTCTGCTGGGACTACCCCCAGGCCTCTTTGTTATGACTTAGCCTGGCAGAAGAGGGTCTAATTGCCCCTTTGTGCAGATTCAGAGAAGGCTGTGCTAGCCTGACTGTGCTCGCAGCTGCCAGGGTCATCTGCGTTCTGTGAGCAGTGGAGCTCTGCACCTGCTCCACAATGGGAAGAGTCTGCCCGGCATCGAGCGCTGTCCTCCACAGAGTCCTGATAAGTCAAACAGGTCCATTTTCTGTTGTTATTGAGTGTTGGCTTTTTTCTCTCAGGTCCATGAAGCTTTAAAATATCAAAATTGCCAGTCATTCCAGGCAGTGGGGATGAATCGCTGATCAGAGGGAGAGATTTTTAAAGGGTTTTTCATGAAAATACCCAAAGTGCTCTTTAAAATAACAGCCAAGACCTGCCAAATTGTGTAACTCCATCTTTGCAAATCAATGATTTTGTAGGATGAAGTATCTAAAAACTGCCAGAATATAAAACATGTATTTACCCTGAGTTGTTCACTCTGTCAGTAACTATCACTCCTAGCAATGATTGAACACCTATAACAACCAGGTGTCTTGATTTTCAGAATACAGAAAAATGGCATATCTCATTACGTTCATTTTTTTTTAATTCACAGCTGTTACTCTAGCCCTGAGAACTGCGTCTGGATTCTGTACATAACATAGCACAGAGTAAATGCTGAATAAATATTCAATGTCATAAGTATCTAATAGATAAACAAGTGAAGTTCATAGCTCCTTGATAAGTCCTCATTTCAACTGGGAGTGCTGTCTCCATTTCATCATGCATCCAATGAAAGCAGTCATAATTACCAATGTGATGATACGTTGTCCACACTGTGAGCCTAGAAAATAGCCCAGGTCACTCTGATCATCAAAACAAAGCAATCTCATTTGCTTTCCTTTTCCTTTGCTCCCATAAAGTCCAGGGACCCTAGAAACCTCAATAATGCTTTTGTCTACAAGACCATCAGCTGCTCCAGGCACCATAATCCCAGGGATGCATAGTTACATCAAACTAAAACAATCAATCATTACCTTTTGCCAAACTAATTGAGTATGTGCTTGTGACACTTTTAAACTGTCATAGAATAAAGTTAATAGCTGTATGGGTTTTGATAAATGAATAGCTATGTACTCACCACCACAGTCAAGATGTAGAACAATTCCAATACCCTAAATAATTTCTTCATGCTACCTCTCTGTGTTCTGATGCTTCCCAACCCCTAATCGGGTCAACGGCCTATCTATTCTCTCTTCCTATGATTCTGCCTTTTATGGAATATCATATAAGTCTTACACAAGCATATGTTTTAACTTATTTTGGTAAAATACTTAAAGGTGTTGCAAGTTCATATGAACATGTGTGCTTAACTTTATATAAAACTGATAGTTTACCAAGGGATTGCACCATTTTGCAGTCTTATTAGCAACATGTAAGCACCTCTTTCTTTGCCAGCTTCTCAAGACTGTGCACTGTCAGATGTGCACACATGGATGAGTGTCGTGTTAGTCTTCTAATAGCTTTCAATGCAGTCTTGTGGTGTCTTAAATTTGCATAGGACTAATGTTGCTGAGATTTTTTCTGAGTGCTCATTTGCCATATATATATGTCTCAGTTGGTAAATATCTCCTGTTTTCTACCCATTTTCTCATTGAATTTTTTAAATTGGTGAGTATTTTTAATCCCCTACATATTCTGAATATAAATTTTTGTAATACACTATTTGCACATATTTTCTCCTACTCTGTATCTTACATTTTTATTCTTTGACAACTGTTATTTGCATAGCCAAAATTTTAATTTTTACTTAAGTCCAATTTATAATTTTAGAAAACTTTGAGGTATCAGCATCCTGGCACAGTCAATTAAGCCACCACTTACAATGAGGCCTTCTTATATCCAAGCACAGGTACAAGTCCTGGTTGCTCTGCTTCCTATCTCGTTTCCTGCTAATAGACTTGGGAAAGCAGCAGGAGAATGACCCACGTATTGAGCCTGGAAAACAAGTTGGGAGAACCAAATGGAATTCTAGGATCCTGGTTTCAACTTGGTCCAGCCTCAGCCAATGCAGGGGTTTGGGGAGTAGATGGAAGATTTTTCTCTCTTTCTGTCCCTTCCTCTGTCTCTGTCAGCCTACCTTTCAAATACATAAATAATTAATTAAATAAATAATATTTTTAAAAAGGTAAAGTTTTATGGACAACAATTTGGAGCTATACAGAACAACTCTTTACCTAATGCAAGTCAGAAATATTTTATCCACAATTTTTTGAGAAATTTGATTGTTTTAGAAGTTTACTTTCAGGCTTTATAAACTCTATAATCCATTGTTAGTAAATTTTTAAAGATTTATTTATTTATTTGAGAGGCATAATTATAGACAGAGAGAGGGAAAGACAGAGAGAGGTCTTCCATCTGCTGGTTTACTTTCCAAATGGCTGTGATGACTGGAGCTGGGCTGATCCGAAGCCAGGAGCCAGGAACTTCTTCCAGATCTCTCAAGTGGATTCAGGGACCAAAATGTTTGTGCCATCTTTCACTGCTTTCCTAGGCCATTAGCAGAAAGCTGGATTGGAAGAGGAGCAGCCCATACGGAATGCCGGCATTATAGCTGGACTTTCAACCTACTACACCACAGCATTGGCCCTTCTTAGTTAATTTTTGCAGTGTGAGTGAAAGCTTGAAGTGTATTTAAAGTTTTTGCAAATGGATGTGTAGTTCTTCAGTACAAAGTTTCGATTGCAAAGATTATAATTTCTTCATTGGGTCTCTTCTGTTTCTTTGTTGAAAAGCAGTAGACTATTCAAATAGACATATTTCTAGAATTTCCTGTTGCTTTGTCTCTGTGTCTGTTCTCTCACAACTCCTTGTCATATTTAATTCTCTAGTTTCAATATCATTTAAAGTGAAGTGTGTACATTTTCCAATTTGGTTATTTTCAGTATAAATTTTTCTCCCATAAATTTTAGAATCAGGTTTTTGATAGCTACCAAAAAAAAAAGGCAGCTGAGATTTTGATTGAGTTTCACTGAACTCATAAAATCATCCAGCTGAACTGACCCATGAAATGTTTTTATGAAACTATATTACAAATAACCAGCAATAGTCCTATCTGTCCCCTTCCTCAGTTTGCGTGTTCAGTGTTGGTTATAAGTGGAATACAGTAAATGAAACTTAAGTTCCTGTGGCTTAGTGCAGAGAAATCCAAAGATCACAAAAATGAAGAGACATGAAACTTAGTAATCTCTAAGGATAGCTAATTACTGGTCCAGCCAAAGTACTCTATCATTTGCCAGCTTAAATCTGCATAGACCCTAACTGACCCCAACATATGTTCAGTAGCAACTTGAAGTTACCAAAATTCAGCAGGTGTCTCTGCTTAAGGTTCAGCTGAATGCACCCAATGGTTTATTATGTTGTCTGAGATATCAGGCTATCACTCCATATGGTGGTAACTTTGATATTTAGATTTACAATGCTCTGAAGTAGCCCCAGCTCTTCCCTTTGAGTTCATAATTGCTTGATCATCATCCATAATAAGACAGAGCATTTAAGGCAGTAGGAATATGGTCCAGCATATTGATGTGTAAACAGCCCTCGTGAGGGTACACAATCCAAGAAACCACCTCTAATGAAGCAATCCCATAAAATGCAAACTCGACAACTGTAACTCTTTAGGTGATTCTCCTAACAGAGCCTACACAACAGATAATGAAACTGGCCAATCCTGTCCTACCACAGCTACGACCTTGAGTCCCAGCTACAAATGCTTTCTCAAATAGCTCTACTTTTCCTTTAAGATATTCCCACAGTGAATTACAATAACTCTTGCCTCTTCTCATGGCTTATTATTCACCTTACAAAGAAGCCTCTTCAAATTTGACTTTAGGATCAGCTTCTACTGCTTTCCAGGCCAGAGCAGTTGAATCAGAATTGAAGCAGCCAGATCTCAAACTGGCGCCCATATGGGAAACCGGCACTTGAGGTGGCAGCTTTACCCACTAAGTCACAGAGCCTACCCCCTAACTTTCAAGCAGGAATTTGTAATTTTTTCCCTAAGATTTATTTGTTTATTTGAAAGGCAGAATGAGAGAGAGAGAGAGAGGGAGAGAGAGAGAGAGAGAGAGATTGTCCATTCACTGGTTCACCCCTCAAATGGCCTCAGTGGTTTGGGCTGGCCCAGGATGAAGCCAACAGCCTAGGGCTCCATCTGAATCTCTGACATGCATGGTGGTGGCCCAAACTTTGGAGCACCTTTAGCTGATTTCCCATCTACTTTAGCAGGGAGCGGGATCTGCAGAGGGGCAGCTGGGCTTCAGGTCTCTTTGATAGGGGGTGTGGAAAGTGGCAGCTCACCCTTCTGCTCCACACACCTTCCCCCAACCTGTGCTTCCAATAGCATCCTCTCTGGAGTGTCCTCCTTACAGTTGCCAGACTGCCACTTGTCCCACCTCCCTCCAGATACCCAATCATCCCTCTGTGGTTCTTGGACATCTTGGTGCACAAGAAAAAAAAATACCTTCATTCCTAAGGAGTTGGCCAGAGTGCATGATTATGACATATTTATCCATTTATAATTCGTTGGGTCCCACTGCTTGGGACTCCCGCAGATGGACTCCTTCCATCCTGAAATGCCTGAGATCAACTCCTGCCTCTGCTTTCAGTTCAGCTTCCTGCTAATGTGCATGCCAGAAGCAGTAGATGGTGGCTCAAGCATTTGGGTCCCTGACACCCATGTGGGAAATCAGATGGAATTCCTGGCTACTGGTATCACCTGGCCCTGTTCCAGTGATTGTGGACATTTTAGGAGTGAACCAGCATATGAAAGATCTCTCTCCCTCTCTCTGGCTCCAAATTGATTAATTAAATAGTTTTAAATGTACAATTACACTTAATTTTTATATCCACATATAATTTTTTCACAATATGCATTTTCATGAACTCTTTGAAGTCAACAACATATTCCAAAAGTAAGGGAATGATCATTTAAAATAGGATACCATCAATCATAGTGAAACAAAAAAGAATCTCAGTAATGTAGAAACAACAACATTTCCTGGCTGAATATAAAACGAATTCAGTCAGTTAATCGGGCATTAACCCATGCTGCCTCATTTCATCTCACAAAGAGTGATAATTGGTCAATTGGAGGAAAGCAATGACTCTTGCCAGTGGAGGCTGAGACATGGCACCACAGTTGATGTGATTGTCCTCTTTTCCCTCACAGGGAAATTGTTAACGCTGAGGCACAAAGAAAGTCCACGTGATTTTCTGCTGCACACATGGCACTGTAGGCCTCACATCATGAAACCTAACTTGCAGCGAAAAGCCAGACCAAAACACACGAGCCAAACACAGTGCAGGAAATGATCTTGCAGATATGATTTGGTTAACACACACGTTTTAGACCTATAATCATGAGAAGAATAAAAATGAATGCTAAAGACATGGGGAAAATTGATAAATTAAAATGATTAAATCAGTAACATCGAGCCCTGGAATCATATAAAATCCATTTACAGTGGATTCCAGTTAATGCTTAACTTCTCACCTCATAGCCCAAAAATTACAATTAAGTGACTACTCTCTTTTTTTTTTTTTTTTTTTAATTTTTGACAGGCAGAGTGGACAGTGAGAGAGAGAGACAGAGAGAGAAAGGTCTTCCTTTTGCCGTTGGTTCACCCTCCAATGGCCGCCGCTGCAGCCGGCGCACCACGCTGATCCGAAGGCAGGAGCCAGGATCCAGGTGCTTTTCCTGGTCTCCCATGGGGTGCAGGGCCCAAGCACCAGGGCCATCCTCCACTGCACTCCCTGGCCATAGCAGAGAGCTGGCCTGGAAGAGGGGCAACCGGGACAGAATCCGGCGCCCCAACCGGGACTAGAACCCGGTGTGCCGGCGCCGCAAGGTGGAGGATTAGCCTATTGAGCCACGGACTACTCTCATTTTTTAAATTGCTATTACATCTGATTTTTGTGCAGCTTGAGTTTAAATTTTTAATAACACTTATAATTTGTTGATTATATGTTTTAGAAACAAATGTATAATAAACTTAGTGTTCTAGATATTTTCTGAGTAAATTTCTTCATATTTTGTACTCTTGATATCTATGTCCCATTTCTCTGTAGATTGTCAAGGACAATCAAAGTATGTATTGGATCTTAACATCCAATATATACAGGGTCATGGGTTGTCTAGACAGAATTTTACTTCTTTCTCTCTTTGTAATTACCCCCACCCCTGCCACCAACTAATATGTCTTAGAATGCTGTTTGGTCATGTGTGACTTACTGGGTATGATAGTTCAAGTGTGTTGACTACTTTTTCTTGGCTGTGGGCTAGTGCTGAAGGCAGTGTCCTGCACTCACCTGAATGACAGTGAGAGGAAGTCTGCCAGGCTGCGGCTGGTGAAGACAATTAATGGACACGCTACAGGCTGGAGTCTGATGCTTGGCAGTGAAAAATTAAAACAAATTAAAAAAAAAAAAGACAAAACTGAACGTCTCAACTATGGCATGGGTATCAGAATTTAGCACCTAGTAAGTTTGGGGTGAAAGCCTCACCCACAAAATCCAGCTGAAAATCTTTGGCATCCCAAGAAGCTTTCAGCACAGAACATTAAAAATTTATTGGAAAATTAAAATAAGGGCAGGCATTGTGGACGAACAGGTTAAGCTCCACCTGTGATGCTAGCATCCCATATGGGTGCCAGTTCAAAACCTGACTGCTCCACTTCTGATCCAGCTCCCTGCTAATGCACCTGGGAAAGCAGCAGAGGATGGCCCAAGTGCACCTATACCCATGCCAGAGACCAGGATGAAGCTCCTGGATCCTGGCTTCTGCCTGGCCCAGCCTTGGCTGTTGCAACCATTTCAGGAGTGAACCAGCAGATGGAAGATCTCTCTCTCTCTCTCTCTTTCTGTAAATCTAACTATAAATTAAAAAAAATCTTTATTAAAAAGTTTAAAAAGGAAATTAAAATAATCTTGGATTATTCATTTGTGTATTTATTTTGCAAGAAAAACAGAGGGGACGAAGTCTTCCACTCCACTAGTTCACTTCTCGAGTGCCTGCTACAGCTAGTGCTGATATTTCCATTGTTAACAAAATGCAGAAAATTATTTTTTTCTCCATTTAGTTAAACACACACAGTAATTTTGCACTGTTTTGTGTTTTTGCACTGTTTTTTTTCACTTCATTTTCTAATTACAAACATTTTTGTATCCAATATATGAATCACATATATTCACAGCTAGTACTTGAGGCATAGCATTAGACACATAAAGGATCTTCAAAATTCCATATTATGAAAAAGAACACACACGGGTTTCAAAATTTTTACAGCAAAGCAAATGTCTTTTCCTTCCATTTCCCCATGAACTTCTTGATAGCCCTCCATTTATGGAAACACACGTGTGTAAACACGCACACAACAGGCTGAGAAAGAACTGCGTGTTTTGCTTGGTTCGTAGAAACTACCAGAAGGACCCCTTTCTTGACTGTAATGAAAAATGAAATCAAAGCAGAAATGTTTATTTAAATGAGTTTATGAAGCTTAAATTTTAAGCTGTTTCGTTGGGACTTCCAGAGAAGCAAAGTGGTGTGACTAATAAGTTATCAATGGGAATCCTGCAAAAAATGACCGATAGCAGTGTAGCTTAGGAGGGAGCCTCTAATCCACCCTCCGGCAAGGTCGTAAGTAAATGTCGTGTTTGACAAAGTAGGTCCTGTTGAGCAGTGCCATCTGTGAGCAGTGTTAGAAGCTGGAGGAGATGTCGTGCTTGATAAAGCTGCGAATGTGACGTCCCTCTCAAGAACCAGATAATATTTCAAAAGCTCTGGAGGAGGGAGTTGAGGAGAAAATGATGAGTTTGAAGAAAACACCTGAGACCATGCTAATGGAAACAAGCACATGAGAATCATTCTGTTTAAAAATGTTTCCCATCTAAATGGGTGATTTGTACTTCCGTTAGGGGACCACTGTTTAATGCATTCTCTCTGCTTTCAGCTAACATCTTAATTTCTCCTTTGATACCCATTAAGAACCATTTCCTTGCACATACCAACATATGTCATTCTTGGAGATTAAAAAAATACTAAGAAGTGAGCATTCTGGAAGTTGCATTAAGTTCAATAATGATTTTGAGGGTGTTATTGGAGGAAGGTTCTATGCTGAGCATTATAAATGGCTATGAATTGAGGGCATGGCCCCTCCACAGCTCACGACAAAGATTAATGGGCACTGTGATAGTATTAAAAATAGGACCTTTACAAGATGATTGGGCTATGAGGGGTCTCCATTTATGAAGAGAGTAATGATATTATTTAGGGATTGTGCTTATCATTGACGGAATGTGTTCAGCCCATTTTATATTCTCTCCCCCCCCCCACCCAGGATCTATTTTTCTATCCATCTCCCTCTCTTTACCTTCTGCCACGTTATAACTCATCAAAATGCTTTTTTCAGAAGTAGCTTCCTTGTTATTGGACTTACATGTCTCCAGATCTGTGACCCTGTATTTCTGCTTATGCTAAATGGTCCACTCTCTGGTATTCTGTTACAGCAGCACAAATCAAACTCAGACACAGCATTTACTTGCCCTTAGTGATGTCACAATCTACTACAGACACACCCAGAGAATGATGTTTCATTATCACTCTCTTCTACACACTTCTACTGCAAGTAACAACTTTACAGGAAGCTATGGTGCTTGGTATGCCAGCAAGACCTCAGAGGAGCCATCACGCTGAGTGAATGGCAAGCCAGCAGGTTGCAAGGATTTAGTCAGGGATACGAGTAGTGTATTGACTTTATAGAAACCCATACCCCTATTTTAATGGAACCCCAGACTACTCAAATTCCCCTAACAATCTCCATCAATGCATTTTGCATGCCCATAGTTGTTTGAAGAACAAAAATTCTATCTCCACTTAACTGCACCTTCCATGTTTGTGCCAAAAATGGTTTTGTTCATCATTTTATCTCCAGTAATTAGGACAGATTCACTAAGCTCAAAATCAGCTATTGCACAGATTGTTCAAGAAGACTTTTGCAGGGTGGAGTTGTGATATACCAGGTTAGACCACCATTCTGAGATGTTCACTTCCCAAATCAGAGTGCCTGGGATTGAGTTCTGACCCTCCCATTTCCAGCCCAGATCCAGCTAATGTGCCTAGGTGGCAGCTGATGATGGTTCGAATACTTGGGTTCCTGCCACTCACTTGGGAGTCCCATCTGGAAGTTCCTAGCTCCTGGATTAACCTTTGTCCAGCCCTAGTTGTGGGCATTTGAAGAGTGAAGCAGCAAATGGAAGATCTGTGTCTGTGTGTGTGTGTGTGTGTGTGTGTCCCTCTCTGAAACTCTGTAAGAGAGAGAGAGAGAGAAGGGAGGGACGGAGGAAAGGAAGAAAAGAAGGAAGGAAGGAAGGAAAGAAGGAAGAGAGACAGAGAGAGAGAGAGAAAGGAAAGAAAGAAAGAGAAAAAAAAGAAGACCTTTGATTATTTTTCCCTGTATAGTTCTCCTAATACTAACTCTTAATGAATGTCATTTTCTTTACCCCCTAAAATGAAAAAGACAAACCATATCTATTAAGAATGTTGAATTAAAATGTGTTTATTTCTTTAGAAGATGAATTTCTCATATCGCCACACAGGGAAGACACAATGCCTACATAGATCCTATAAAAAAACCTGCTTTAATGTATATTTGCTCACTGTTTACTGGGGTTATGAAGATGGATGGGAATCTATCCACCCAACTGCCCTTAAACGGCTTAATGCCATTATGAACAGAACTCCACAAAGCAAATTATTTCCGTCCAAGTAGATGTTACAAAGCAGGCTGACATGACCTTCGAATGTTTTCCTTTGAAGTATTTCTCCAGTGTAAAAGATGAACTTTTTCATCTGTCTTTCTCTCTGAAACTGGGACTTAAGAGCTGCTCAGACTTTTGGGAAACAAAATAAAAACCCTCACAACAAAAGGCGAACGGTGTCAGCAGAGGCCTACACTAAGTAAAGGCATTCTCTGACTGTTCTTTAATACCATTTAGTTGATGAACAAAGAGCACTGGAAATACACCTGACCTTTGACTTCTTTGGTCACAAAAGTTCTCTTCATTTCTTATTTTTCAAGAATCTAAATTAAATTTGGCCAGGAATTTGGACAGCCCTTAAAATTTTGAGTGTAAATTCGTGTATAGGAAGAGCATAGAAGAGCATAATACAACCACTCAAGGCTATTTGAAATACCAGGTAACGTGCTGACCTTGGGGCCATGCATTTGCCTTGTAGGAGCTACATTCTTGTTACCCCAAGTGCATTTCTACATCCTGAAGTCTGTCTACAAATCAGGTGAGGTGGTAATAATCTATATAACACACAATTAAATAAATGGCAGTTAGGACAAATACAATGATGATGTAGCCTTGGTACTTGTTCTCCTGTTGAAAAGAATATACTACAATTAGGAAATAAAACAATGTGTGGGGGCTGGCGCTGTGGTGTAGCAGGTAAAGCTGCCCCCTGCAGTGCCAGATCCCATATGGGTGCTAATTTGAGTCCTTGCTGCTCCACTTCTGATCCAGCTCTTTGCTATGGCCTGGGAAAGCAGTATAAAATAGCCCAAGTTCTTGGGCCCCTGCACCTGCGTGGGAGACCAGGAGGAAGCTCCTGGCTTCAGATCAATGCAGCTCCAGCCATTACGGCCAATTGGAGAGTGAACCAGCAGATGGAAGACCTCTCTCTCTGCCTCTTTTTCTCTCTCTGTGTACTCTGCCTTTCAAATAAATAAATAAATATTAAAAAACACGTGACATATGCTATGATCATGGACATGTTTAGTAAAAGATTATATTTCCACATAAAACAGATTTTACCCATTCGAAGGTGAATATTCTGACAACAGTATCAAACTTCACTTTTAACAAGTTATTCAAGAAGTAGAATCTTTAAGAGTCCTGCAGATGTTATATATATGCGTAAGTTATAATTAGGGAACAACCCTAATTATATGCATAAGTTAGAATTATATGCATAAGTTATATGAACAAGTTAAAATTACGGGACAACTACATATTCAGTAAGCTAGAGAGGAAGAAAAAACTGGCAACTTTGTAGTATACTCATTTTATATTACAAGATATTTTCTGTGAGAATAATTCTATCTTTAGATTCAAACTCATGCTCAATTTGTTAGTTTGGTAACAATGAGAGATGACATATAAATATCTACTTTACACACTTCTTGTGAATATCTGCACACAATAGACGATAAATACTATTTGCATTGCATTGGATTCTATAAAATAGAGTTCCTGGGGTGGGCATTTTGCCTAGCAGCTGGGCTGCTGGTTGGGACACTCCTATCCCTTTTGGAGTATTCTAGTTTGAATCCTAACTCTGATTCTAATTCTAGTTTGCTGATAATGCAGACATTGGGAATCAGCAGGTGATGACTTCAGTAACTGGGTTCCTACCATCCACATGACTGACCTGGATTGAATTCCCACCTCCAGGCTTTGGCCTGGCCCAGCCCTGGTTGTTGCATACGTCTGGGGAGTGAACCAGCTGATGGGAACAAAATTTCTGTCTTTTTCTCTCAATCTCTCAAAATAAATAAAAATACTGAAAAGAAAACCCAACACTTTTTAAAAGAGAATTCTCATCCCCTGCTCATCATTGTTATAAAGATTTTTCTCTTTTTATTGGCTTTCTTTGCTGTTCCTGCCCCACTTTGCAAACTTTGTCCAAAGCACGCAGTGGTCAGACCATGGGGATCCTCAGGTTGCTGTCTGAGCAGTGTTTGATGTGTCACCCCGGAAGCAGCCAGCAAGAGAAGCAGGGAACCATATTTGGTTTGGGAAAAAATACACAAGAGCCCCAGCGTGCTGAGAAGGATACAAAGTGCCTCCTGCTCACCCATCTCACAGAGTTTATTAACGCACTGAGAGATGCAGCTCGCAAGGTGACACAGCCAGCGGCAGTAGTGACGGCAGGGAGCAAAGGATCAGCAGCAGCCTCCCGTGTACTCTTCCCTGTTGCGTTAATGAAAACAAGCACTCTGTAAAAAGTCAGCTAAGGTTTATTTTACCAGAATTGCATATGAAGGAAAATAAAGTCATTTATAAGCAAAAGGGGCCATACATGGTCAAAGTATATGAGCATATAATAATCGCCATATCTTTTTTCCATCAATGTTCATATTACCGTGATATTAGTGTAAACAGAACAGATTCAATGTAGTTCATAGGTACAATTCTAAGAATACTGACCCTTCCCTTCTTCCCTCCAATATATGTTTATTCTGCATGGAATAGTTCTTCATTACAAATTGTTTCTGGATCCAGGCTTCAAATGTTTCTCACCTTCTAATAATCCTAGCTTAATTTTAGGCAGTGCCTTTTCAGTGGTTTACTTTGCATAACTATATAATCATTTTAAAGGTTTATTTATTTGTTTGAGAGACAGAGTGAGAGAGAGGCACAGAGACAGAGAGACAGAGAGAGAAAGGGATCTTCCACCCCCTGGTTCACTGCCCAAATGGCTGTGATGGTTGTGCTTGTCCAGGATGAAACCAGGAGCCTGAAGCTCCATTCAGGTCTCTTTCATCAGTGATGGGGGCTCAGGTACTTGGGCCATCTTCGGCTGCTTTTCCAGGCACATTAGAAGGGTGTTGAATTAGAAGTGGAGCATCCAGGACTCAATCTGGTGTGAGATATGTGATGCTGGTATTGCAAGCAGCAGTTTAATCAGCTCCACCACAATGGTTGGCTCCCGAACCCCACTGTTTGGAGTATTAACTGATAACCCCTAGCACTGTAAGGCACTTCTTTCTCTGTGTGTAATCATGCCGAACTCTCATTATCTAACTAGCTTTGATTAGTTTCATTTAGAAAATCTTCAGAACGTGGAAAGACCAACTTTTTCTATTCTGCCTCATAATTGTTGGGCTTCTATGTTTTTTTTTTTTGTTTTGTTTTGTTTTTTGACAGGCACAGTGGACAGTGAGAGAGAGAGAGACAGAGTGAAAGGTCTTCCTTTGCCGTTGGTTCACCCTCCAATGGCCGCCACGGCCGGCGTGCTACGGCCGGCACATCGCGCTGATCCGAAGCCAGGAGCTAGGTGCTTCTCCTGGTCTCCCATGGGGTGCAGGGCCCAAGCACTTGGGCCATCCTCTACTGCACTCCTGGGCCATAGCAGAGAGCTGGCCTGGAAGAGGGGCAACTGGGACAGAATCCGGCGCCCCGACCGGGACTAGAACCCGGTGTGCCGGCGCCACTAGGCGGAGGATTAGTCTGTTGAGCCGCGGCGCCGGCTCTGTGTTTTCTAATGAGAACTTAACTGCCATTCTTGTCACGTTTCAGGTGATGGCTTTTTGTTTCTGATTACTTGTAAGGGTTTAACTTTTTCTTTGGCTTTATTGTTTTTCTTTTACTGTTACTTACTTAGAAGTTGTCTTTATTTATTCTTATTTTATGTAATTATACATTTTGGTATAATAGCCTTTCTGTATTTCTTTCCTTTTTTACAAATTCTTGGTCATTATCACTTCAAATACTGAGGCTGCACCAATATTACTCTCTGTATCCTCTCTTCTTGAGGACTCTATTGCATGCCTTCAAGATCTTTTCACCTCTCCTGTATGGGTTTCTCACTTTTTTCTCATTGCTTCAATCTCGAGGCCTTCCTATGAATCCATCTTTTACTCATCCCAATCTGTTAGGATAACCATGTAGTAAAGTAACTGAAAGAATCCTGGGATTTTCTAGTGGTTCAGTCACATAATTAGCAATTCTTTTTCTAATATAACCATTTTTCCCATATACTTCCTCATATTAATTATGGTTATTACAAATTTATGCATGATATATCCAATAATTGGGTCTCCTATGAATTTGTCTCTCACCTGCTATTCCTTTTGGTTTGTTTTTCAGAAACTGTTTCCTTTATTTTTATATTTGTCTTTAGTTCAATGCTGAAACAAAAAAACCTAGGAGCTCTACTATTTCATAAACTCCTGGAAGTTTGAGTGGAAGCATGTACACACAAATCTGCAAGACGTAGCTTACCAATTTACACGGGCTGAGGACTTCTTGTTCTTTCCTTCTAAGATGTCTACCAGGCACCTAGAATTAAGCTCCAGGATCACCATATACTTCTTCCTCATCTTCTATTTCATATTCATGGCAATGTGGGAAGTAGAATCAAAATTTGTAAACATCTAAAATGGGGTAGAAATTACATGTTTGGAATTCCTAGGGCATGCTTCAAATCAACCAGTTAACAGCTTAACAATTTTGACCTACTAAAATACAAGTCTCACTTTTTTCAAAGGTTATTGCAAGAAGTGGAACCTAGAAACAAATCTATGAAATAAGTTTCCCACTCTTCAAGATATCTAAATCAGAAACAAGACCCTTACTTACACCTTACATAAAAATCCACTCAAAATGAATCAAGGACCTAAATCTACAAACAATATCAACAAATTACTAAAGAATATTGGAGAGACTCTGCAAGACATTGGCATAAGTAAAGACTTTTTGGAAAAGACCCCAGAAGCATAAGCAGTCAAAGCAGAAATTGACAAATGGGATTACACCAAACTAAGAAGCTTCTACACTGGAAAAGTAACACTCAGAAAAGTGAAGAGGCAACTGACAGAATGGGACAAAAAAATTGCAAACGATGAGGCTGATAAAGGATTAGTATCAGAATCTATAAAGAGCTCGAAAAGCTCAACAATAACAAAGCAACCAATCAAGTCAAGAAATGGGCGAAGGACATGATCAGGCATTTTTTTTTTTCAAAAGAGGAAATTCAGATAGCCAACAGACACTTAAAGAAATTGTTCAGGATCACTAGCCACCAGGGAATTGCAAATCAAAACTCCAATGAGGTTTCACCTCTCCCTAGTTAGAATGGTTCACATACAGAAATTAAAAAAAATAATAAATGCTGGCAAGGATGTTTGAGGAAAAGTTACCCTAATCCACTGCTGGTGAGAATGTAATCTGGTACAGCCACTGTGGAAAACAGTATGGATGCCTCAGAAATTTGAATATAGATCTAACATATGACCCAGCCATTCCATTTCTAGGAATTTTCCCACATGAAATTAAATCAATATATGAAAGAGTGATCTGTAACTACACATTTTTTGTAGCTTAATTCATAATAGCTAAGATATGGAAACAACTCAGATGTCAACTGAAGACTGGATAAAGGAATTATGGCATATATACACTATGGAATACTACACAGTGGTAACAAAATGAAATCCTGTCTTTTACAACAAAATTGATGCAACAGGAAACCATTATAGTTAGTGAAATAATACACTATATTTAGTGAAAAAAAAACAAATACCTTATGCTTTGCCTGATCTGTGGTAACCAATACAATACCTAAAATGCAATCTATAAGAATGAACTTGACATTTTGAGAATTCTTGATTTTTATAACCCTTGTCTGGACTGTTGAGGAACAGTTTTTTTTTTTCTTCAAACCATTTGTATGTACTACTTAGTGAAGGGGTGACCTTATGAATATAAAGTTAACTGAAAATTAACTTTGTTAATCTTTGTTAAAATAAGAATGGGAATAGGAGAGTGAGGAAGAAGAAAAGTGGAAACATGGGTGGGAGGGAGGGAGTGGGAAGTATCACTATGTTCCTGAATCTGTATATAAAAATGCATGACATTTATATAGCTTAAATAAAATTAAAATAAGATAAAAGCTTGTTCATAAAAAATCAAAAAATAGTAATTATCAGAGTTTGGGAATGAAAGGTGAGGTGGTAAGAGGAGAAAAATCTTATTTATGTGTACTAAGCTATAGTTAGATAGGAGTGATAACAATAGATGATCTTTTTATAGTAGGGTGACAAGATAATGCTAATGTGCTCTATATATCTCTATTATGAAAACAGTAGATGATAGGATTTTGAACTTTTTTTATTGTAAAGAAATGTTAAGTGTTTGAGGAGATAGATATGCTTACACTGATTGGATATTACACAATGTGTGTGTGTATCAAAACATAACATGATGCCCCAAAATATACACAATTTTATGCGTCTGTTTAAAAATTAAGAATATATTAGCTACATTTATAGAATGTTACAACAAACTTGAGGAAAGCAATAGGCATTGGGTATGCATAAAATTTCTATATCCATAAACTCCAAAAACCCACATCTAATAATCTGTCCTTTATGAATATTATATTTATAGCACTGTATATAAATAAATCATAAAATATTAAAATCAAAGTGTAATTTATTTAAAATCAAAGAATAATCATGCAATATTACACAACTAAAATGATAAGTTAAAAAAGACATGTTTCTTGGGGCCAGAGCTGGGGCATAGAGGGTAAAGCTGCTGCCTTGCAGTGATGATATCCCATATGGGGACC